GCTTTTCTGTTCAAAGTGGCTACTCACTGAACTTCTTTAAATCTTTTGAGATTTCCTAAGTTAATTTGTATTTTTCTAGAAATTTATCCCATAAAGATGACTTAAGTTGTTGATGTAGACTTGTCATATAATTTTCTTGTGGTCTGCTTACATTCCGTAAAGTTTATGGCAAAGTCTACACCAATTTTAGGTTTCTATTTTTTTTCCCTTTTGTCTGGTGGTTTGCTAATTGTGCTGATATTTAGAAGAAATGAGCTTTTGGTTCTGATTACTTAAGCTATTGCTTTCATATTTTCTAATTTTATTTCTTTTCAATTCTTATTTTTTGACTCTATACTCATTTGATTTATCTGTTTTCTGATCTAAAACAATAATTTAGATTATTTATTTGAGTCTTTTTCTTTGTTAAAATAGATGCCAATTACTGTGAATTCTCATCTGAGCATTGCTTCTAATGAATTCTATAATTATGATTGAACATAACCACACTATGCTTGCATGTTCTTTCCTCCATGCATAATCTGATTTCCTAAGTGACTTACTGTTTGGATAGCTGATTCTTTATATGTTTATTTCATTACCACATATTTCCAGTTTTATTGTTTCTAATTATTGATGTCATTGCTATATTTGAAGAAGGACCTGGGAATCATTTTAATTACTTTAATTAGGGTGAGAAGTGGTTTTTGTAGCCCCAAACATCATCTATCCTGGGTAATATTCCATGTGCACATGACAAAAACTCATAACTGTTTCTGTCGGGTAGAGATTTCTTTGATTTTTCTCTCTTTCCAGTGTGCATTTTACTATTTCGCATTTTTCACTATTGTATATAATTTTCTGTATCTCTGCCCATTTCTTTGCTCATGTTGATTCTATTTCTGAAATTTTCTCTTAACTATTTTTAACATACCTTCACTTTTTAAATTCCCACTTTATAGTTTTGTACAGGATTATCTTGTGTGGCTTTCCTTCACTTGTTGGTATTTACAATACTACTGATGCTTAGATAGCATATACAATTGCTCTAATTGTGTTTAAAGGAGTAGTGAATTTAATACGGAGAAACTGTCCATTATTGTGAATCATGTGATTACATCCATTTATTTAGTACATATTTATCATTATCATGTAGAACATATATTTCAAGTCATATAGCAGTCACAATGTGCACCTACTTTTCAGATGATGAATGAGACATGCCAAAAACCAAATAAGTACAAGTGCAATGAAATCTGATTGGTGCCATTATAAATAACCATCTACAAGGCGCAGAATTTTCTGTGTCTTTGTCCATTTCTTTGCTCATGTTGTTTCATTTCTGAAATGTTCTCTTAACTATTTAACAATGTACACCTACTTTCCAGATTATGAGTGAGACATGCCCAAAACCAAGTAAGTGTAAGTGCAATGAAATATGATCGGTATATATATATATATATTCATTAACAAAGCAGCAGAAGAGGAAGCTGGTAGTACTATGGAGTGACATAGCAGTACAGTCAGTACATTACTGTACTATACCTAATTTACTTTCTCACACACTATGCACAAAGGCATTGAACAAATATCTGTTTAGAAAATAGCTAACTAATAAACCACTTCATGTAAACCATGTCAATGCCTTTTAGTCAGCTGGACTGGGTCTGAAAAAGCATGGGATAAAACCGGACTCGCTGAACATAGCGGACAATGAGGACTGCTGAGAAGTCAAGAACAATGGCACTGGGTTTTGATCCTACTGCACTTACTGGCTTTGTAGGAGCCTAGGCAGTTTGGATGCTCACCTTACTAGATCTGGAAGGAGGTGGGAGGTCCTTGGACTTCCCACAGGTCAGGGAACCCTGATTGCTCTTCGGGCTGATGAGGGAGGGGGAGTTGATTGGGGGAGGGGGAGGGAAATGGGAGGCGGTGGCGGGGAGGAGGCAGAAATCTTTAATAAATAAATAAATAATAAAAAAGAAAATTAATAATATTATGTAATGTTACTACAAAGAAAACATTGACATTAAATAATCATGTGCTGACAATTTTAGGCCACAGTTTATTTTGTAGATAAATATTTTTCTAAATTTCATCTTCAAAAAATTTTATACAGATACGTATACATTTTAAAATTGTTCAGCTATCTCTTTTCTCCATTTTCTTTCACTTTCCCTTTTCTTTGTTTAAAAGTTTATTGGCTATTTTCATACAATATACATTGATTATATTGTTTTCTCTATCCCAAAACTTCTTAGATATTCCTCACCTCAGTAGCCACTCAACTTCATGTTCCCTTCCACCCTTTCTCTCAACTCCATTTCTATGTTAAAAAAGGAAAATAAGAAACAAAAATTTAAATTGATTTTTACAAAAAGGAAAGAAAGAAAGAAAAAAAGGGAGGGAGGAAGGAGGAGTGAAGGAAGAAAGAAAGGAAGGAAGGAAGAAAGAACAAAAGAAAGAAAGATGGAAAGAAGATGAAAGACAAAAGACAACTTATCGACCAACCACATTTCAGGGAATGGTCCATGCAGTAGTTGCCTAACACAAAATGGTCTTCCATCCTTTTCTTAGGGCATATTGTTTTGTTCTTTCTAGAACTGGCCCATAAAAATCTATAAGAGGCTAATATATATTATTGTTATTACATGTGTGTGTTTAAATATAAAATCTATAATGGCTAAGACTTGATTTCAGTGGAAGATTATGTGTTTAGCTCTTTCTGTATACCTGTTTATGTAATTTTGAAATTGTATTTTTCTTTCTAATTTTCTGATCATTCTTTTCAGATTTTAAGTCTCAATATCTTACCCTTTGAAATTCATAAGACTTCTGTCCTCTGGTCCCACATTCACTTAACTAATTTATCTGGTATGTAAGTTCTAAATTCATTATTACCTGTCAACCAATAATTTCCATGTTTAATATTATACTCTGTTATTCTTTTATGTTCAATGAACTACTCCTGTTCACTCACTGTACTAAAATGTGATATTAAATGTAACTTCAAAATCTAAATCTGCATTTCCTAAAGTATACTAATTTTTCTAACTTTTCTACTCTGTTCATTTTGCTTTTGTAGTTCAAAAAAATGATGATATTATTCACATATATAAATAAAGTTACTTTAAATATTATTTTTAAATTTTTATATAGTTTTGATAAATGTATACCTAAACTCCTGGATCTTTTCCCTACCTTTCTTTTCTTCTTTATTGCCTACATCTTCTTTATTAATTCTTTATTTAATTCCACTGGACTACTTAAGTGTCTCTCTAACTTTATTCAATGCCTCTGGCTTGTTCTTATATTTCAGCTTCTACAAAGGTGCCAAATTTTTCTAAAATATAAATAGGATCATATTAATCATGAAAAGAATAACTTTCAAAATTATAAATTTTATTAAACCTGCCACACAGCCTAATGTCTGTAACTAACAATGCTGTGTGATGCAAACAAATTATGTCAAAAGAATGGAACTTAATATATAAGTTCCCCCCCAAAAAAATAAGTTCCCCCAACAAACTAATAATGGAAAGGAATAAGAGAAAGTTGGAAAGTAATGACCATGACAGTTTCATGTATATACTCGTTGGATTATATATTTTAAATATGCATAACATATGTGTCAATAATACCCAACAAAGTATTTATCAAAACAAAACATATAGGATATGTTAAATAGCCAACCTTTTTCTTAGACCTTTAACAATGCCATGGCATCAGAATACTAAACAGGATTGCCTATTATGCAGCTGAAAGTTCATTCTATTAAGATGAACTGAAGCGCTTTCTCATTTTGGCCTTACACTAGATCTTTATCTGTAACTTCATAGTCCATCACTAAAATAATTGTCACCAAACATACCATGCCCTCATCATTACTGAACATTTCCTTCTCCTCGGCTATGATTTTGCCCATTCTTTCTGCTCACAATATTGTTAAGCCATGTCTCAAGTATTAAGTCACCATTTTAGTCATTAATTTTGACTTTTGGTTTCTATAGCAGGGTGAATGTGCCTCTGCGATAAAGCGGTCATCCCACACTGCCATTATTCTCTAATTATTCTGCTTTCATTCACTAACCAAACCACCTGCATGTCGGAACTATATATTGCGTGTTTTGCATTCCCAGTTCCTGGTTACAGTACTTAACATAAGTTCTCAACAACACTTTCATAACTGAAGGAGAGTACCACAAACACAAAGAAACAAAGATAATATATTTTTATAGAATGTGTTCAATCTTTACTATGTAAGAGACTATATTGTCAAAATCCCCTTCATTATTTTAAGAACTTGAATATTTGGTGGGCCTGGTTATGTGAGTCGTAAATCTCAGCCATAAAGAGACGAGAGGCAGTCTCAGACATATCACAAAAGATCAGAAGTGGTGGTATCAAATACACTTAAATGAATGACTTTTCTTCTCATCTGAAATGCATAGCTTACATTTCTTCGTTTCGAAACAACGTGAAAGTAAATACACAAAGTCTAAGATCATGATATTCTCCTCTTACATCTGAAAACTTCCCCATTTTTAATTAAGAAAATCAAATATCCCTATGGAAGTAAACAAAGTCTAGATCAATGTTTTCCATGTTCTCTAACTGAAAGAATTAACATCACTCTTTTTCATTAAAAAAGAAAGAAAGAAAGAAAAATGTTAACAAGGAAAATCTTTAGAGATAATATTCCTCAACCCTGAATTAAGATCTCAAAAACACTTTCATCTGGCAGGATAGAGAAGAACATTAAAAAACAGTGTGATTAAACAGAAAAATAAAATAAAAAACTTAATGTGTCTCCAAGTTATTTGGATAAGTTAAGTCTTTGATAACAGTATGGTACTGATTACAGTTTATAGTTCAGAACCTCTGCTTTCTCATCTATAAAGTAGAATCAACATCTGCTGAACTGCATATCACAAGGCATTGATGTGGCAAGCATCAAAAGAGAGAAACTTTGGTAAGTACACTTGGAAACAAAATGTACTGTACTGGAGGCATTCACTCACCAAACACAGTTCTTGCAGGCACAGATTCTCTGTTAAGCCAGAATGACACTTGGGAGAGAATGACAGTCATGATGCAAGGCAGATAGGTCTGAATCACAAAATACCCAATTTTTCTTTTCAAGTGGAAATGAGCTGTCATTACAGTATATTCACCTGGAAGGAGAATTTAAGAAGCTTAAGGAACTGTAATTGTCAATAGTCAGAACAATTTGGAAATGGAAGGGATTAGAAGAATAACAGTTCCTGATAAAAAAGGAAGAAATGGTCACATAGGTTTCATGAAAACTATAAAAAATAGAAATGTCTCATTAGAAAAAGAGTATTTTAGAAAGAATTACACAGTATCAACCACCTTGCAGTGCTATGCTCCATGACACGGTGTTCATTGTTCTCTTTGGATTACGCCCACTCCCCAGCAAGATTCTAAAAACTCTGCAAGTAGTTTATCTTTATTGCCTTGTGTCCCACCTGTCCATTGGTACAACCTACGTGCTGGCTGCAGGAATTGATTGCCCATCCCTCCAGGACCTTAAAAACACTAGTAACTGGTGTTACCACTGCCGCTGCTCTTTTGGACCAGATTTTTCTCTTTAACTCCATCACCAATTCTGACTTTCTCTCGCCATATACCTGCTGTAATTTGCTCCCGCCAGTTTTATCTAATTCTCATACTTACCTTCTTTTTTTTTCTCCTACAGTCTTAATTATTTCCAGATGGAAGATAATTATTCTACACAGCTGCCTTTTTCTTTACTGAGGGTGGCCTAAAAGAGGCGCTTTTCATCCAGACCAGGGGCAATTACCCAGAAATCAAGGGTTGAACAATCATAATTTATCCACAATAGGAGAAAAAGAATAAGAAAACTAGGGAAATAGGTATCACTACTTTGAAGGAAAATGATAAAGTTGTCTGATCTGAGAAGATGATATTTTTAAGTGTCCAGTAGTTAAGTTTGTTTTAAAACACGGTTTCTGAAACTCATGCACATATGAATCTCCTCGGAATCTCGTCGCAGTACCTGCTTTAAAAAAAGAATTGTCTTTGATTACGAATGTCTCAAAAAGCTTCCAAATAATTTGTGCAGTTAGTCCACAGAGCTCAAAGGTAAAATGTTTTCAATTTTCTGACATTTTTTTTTATCGTTTTAACCTACTAATCTTGGGGTGGGGGGTGGAACATTAGATTTTATTAGAAAATGTTACTAACCTGTGCTGGATTTAATTGTCTCCTTCCCAATTGACTGACCCAGCAAATCATACTGATTTAACCTAGACCCATCAGGAGCAACCTGAACGGAGTCAGAAGCATTATAAGTCCAAATATAAGTGACTTCTGAGGTTGTGTATGCATCTGTCAGAAACGAAAAACAAATGTTATAGACATTTGAAAAAGAAACACTAACAGAATGATTGGTCTACCGTTGCAGACTTAATAGAATCAATATTTATCCAAAAATAAACATTTAGAGATCACAGATTTAGAGGAAAATGTGTACTTTGAATTTATAAGGTTAAAATTATAGGGATAAAGAGGGTCAGAAAAAACAATGAACAAAGACCCGTTTTCGTTGGTACCACTTTGAGAGGTGGTGAGTAAATTTCTCTTTAGAGGCAGAAACAAAATCATTGATTTTCAAGATAATCATAACATTTCCTCAGTGCTGAAGTAGCTGAGGAAGGCATTGTGAAAATAAGCAATGAAGGTATTACATAGTTTATTTTAAAACGGTGATCACCCATAAGATAAAAATTATAATCCAAAGTGCTTTGTTTTCTGTAAATTCAAATTATTTATTTAAGAGATAATGAATTTAGTTATCATGAATAAAGGCGTTTAATTAAAACAATGAGAACTAATTGTTGGCATAAAAAATAAAGCAGATTATATACCTCCATCACATTATAGATGCATTTTCAAACATATTCATTTATAAGTTAATTAATGAATACCAGCATCAGAGGCTACAATTATATAGTATTCCAGTTAAGTTGAGAATTAATTGAAAGAGAAAATGTATTTGACCAAAATGAAGACCTTCTCAGAAATGAGCTTCCTTTGGAGTTGAGCCGAGGTCATACATCTGGCATTATCAATTTTCTATGCAATATTTTCTATGTCCTTGTAAGCGTACTACTTTATAACATCTGAGAGCCCCTATCTCTATGCAGAGAGTCTCTTTACAATTGTAAATATGACAGGGATAATTCCTGCTCTACTGTCAACCTTGGGAGAACTTCTTTGTCCTGTTTTCTATGTGGCAGTGTGGGAAACAAAACTTGGCATGATACTGATATTCACAATTAGGGAGGAAACAGGACTAGTCAGGTTTCCATGAGACTTGAAATCATATTTATTTATTTATTTATTCTATAAAAGGTTTTGCACATAGTTTCATGGTACTGAGGTGTTTCTATTAGTGAACTTGAGCTAGGGTCTGTGACCTAATTTGATTTCCATTCAAGTATCAGGTGCAACACAATGGATATTAATATGTATGCTTGTCATTAGCTGTATGGTCTTTTAATGATATTCAATAATATACGGCTTTTTGAATGTTGCTACTAATACTAATATCAATGAAATACTCCTTATATTTATCCATGGATTTATACATCCTCAAATAAATTATGTTAAACAATTTTTGAAATAGGATTCTAAAAATAGGTATGTATATAAATATACATATTTATAGGTGTGTTTGTACATACATACTTTCATAGAAAAATATTCATATATTTGCCCATGTGAAATGGAGTTTTTCTAGAGTCTAAATTGCCAATTAGCTAATTTCAATGAAATAATCACTTGTGGATGCCACTGAAAACATTAAGCAATAAGTTAGCAATGTAGTTAACTAAGCATTCATTTATAGTTCATCAAGTGGCTTGTTTTGGTTCCCTCATGAGTAAACATGATGGTCCCTTCTACAAGAGCATTTCCAGTGCTGCACAATTTAAAATATCAAACAAACATTGCTTAAATTTTCATCTCATCATTAGAAATAACTAACAGAAATGAAAGTCCATAAAAGTGATGATATTCTTGTAAGAAATAATGAGATACAGATGGGCAAAGGCTATCCAATTGACGTTCTCAATTTGTTCCTGTTAGATTATGATTAAGCTGTGTAAATAACATGAAATCTCCGTATCTGATAATAGTTCATGAACACATTGCAAAAAAAGATCGATCTTTTATATGTCTATTAAAATAATTTGCTGCATTTCATTAACTAGTCTAAATGTCTTTTGTATATTTTTTACAGTTGTGATAGGACAAGAAACAGAATATAATTCAATGCAGCTCAGATGCACCCCCTTATGCTCAAACCAATAGGTAAGTCGAGGCCTTCACTATGTTTATTACTAAAGTATAAGTGCAAAAGACAGGCTGGAGAAATGGCTCAGCAGTTGAAAGCAGGTAATAGTCCTGCAGAAAACCAGAGTTTGGTTCTCAGCACCAACACTAGCTGGGCTCACAATTTCCTGAAACTCTATCTCCCGGTGATCTGCTGCCCTCTGCTGGCTCCTGTAAGTGTCTGCAGTCATGTGTACTTACCCCACAGAAATGCACAAACACATACACACATACACACAGACACACATACACAAAATTGAACACAAAACAAAACACATTTTGAAACGGAGAAGGCAGTTTGTTTTTCAACTTCCTTTTAAATCCCACTTTGAAATGAGGATTTCGTTGAGTGAATATATTTAACTTATTTAAGCAATATATGTTTGAATGTTCGTCTACATTATACATACGCATTTTCACTGGCTTAAACCCAGTAATCAATGAGTATATTTTTCAATAATTTTTAACTATTAACTTTTATCCTAAAAACTGTAAGTTTTCAGGGTTTTTTTTTTTTTGGGGGGGGGGGGCTCCCCCAGAGAGTACTGCAATACTCACACTCAGAAAGTTTCAAGTCAAATGAAACAATAAATGTATAAAGATCTAAGGCGATATAGTGATAACAGTAAAACAATAAGGAACTTTAAATTGCATGAATACAGAAAAGAGGCTTCTTTTATTTGAGGAGAATGACAAAGATCCAGAAATTCAATTATTTTAGAATAGTGCTACTTCTAAAGCAGAGCAAGAAATAGCTGCAAGATAATGTCACAGTTGCTTCTGCCAAACTTATTTTGTCCCAGCGTTGTTCTCTCCCTCCACACTGCTGTCCACACTGCTAACACAGACTCCTCAAGCACTTGCTATACACAAAGAAAAGTAAGAGATAAAGAAACGGCTTGCGCTATGTGTCAGAACATGAATGTAAAGAAAGCAAAATAAAAAAATAAGCAATAATTACATAGAAAAAGAATAAGGCCAGAAACTTTGCGTGTTGGCAATATGCATTCTGGATGGAGCAAACCATAATATTTTCAGGCACTCATACCCTTTTACTTTGTAGCTACACTCTGTAAAGCTTTCAATTTGAAATCAAACCCTTCCAAGCAAATTTCTCTTATTTTCAGTGTTGTGGCATCTTGTCATTGACATCTGATGTCATAGTAACAATACCTCATCTACTGAAAACACTTGTCCTTCCCACATCATTACTGCATCTTGCAGAAATTCTTTTGGGTGCCAAAGCTTTTCAAGTTTGCCTTTAATGTCACTTATGCAATGCAAATGAGCCTCTCTGCTGCATCTGCTCTGGTTTTCTCAACACTGTGTTTACGTTGTATAACATGACTGACTATCTTAAATAATATTGGAAGAAATGCCAGTTTTGAAATGATGGTTCCCATGGCAATAAAGAAAGGCTTGTGGTTAAGCCCAGAGGATGCTCTCAGAGAAAATTAAGGACTGACAGCTGCTACAAGGATATACAAAGCAAATAAGCTTGAACCTCTCCACAAAACTGGCATCCTCAAATCAATAGAGGAATCGGCATTCTCTATTGACCATTCTATTTTCACCGAGTTGGTAGTCTGAGAGAAGATACATGCTTCCTTACTCAGTCTGTCAGTACAGTTAATCAGGTTAGAAGTGGAAACTTCTATTTCACAGAAGTAAAAGAAAAGCCTAAAGCTGCTCAGAATGCACAAAAATGGGATATCAGAAAAAGCACAGTTTCTAAGGAGGTCAGGGAAGAAGGCATCTTCAGAAAGAAGGCAGCTGCTAAGCTACATTGATGAATTAATTCCGAAACTTCCTGGATTGTCCTGTGGGCCCAGAAAGATGACCTGACTTCGCGCTTTCCATTATTCCATAGTGTGGATGCTTCTGCTTGACATCTAAGATACAACCCAGTGACCCAGAGAATGGCCAGAGGCACAGAAACTTTTAGAAATGTTCTATCTTTACAGAAGATACTGATGTGTAACCTTCCAATCTTGTCATCTTCATTAAATGTATTTTAAAAAGAAAAAGAGCTTCTCCCATCAGGTAAACGCTAGACAGACAACTGAATGGGCTTTATCTCTTTTTCTGGCCCAAATAACAGTCAAATAGCAGGCAAATGGTAAAATTTGTCATATATAATTCATTCTAAACTGAAAAAAAATAATTTTACATTTTAAAAAATGATAGTCTTAGGAGAAAATATGAATAAAGTATAGGACTGACTCTACAATAGTCCCTGATTTAGTTTTATACACAAATTATAACACATAGGTTTTTTTTTATTGTAGCAAAATAAATGATGTTTTAAAATGAAAAACATGGATGAAAATGCTTGAGGGAGCCATGGGATACTCCAGCTGTTTCCTTGAGGGCAACCACCATGGCTTTCACTTCTGCATTCTATAGGTCACTTATTATGCATTCCATAAGAAGAGAAGAAACTGCATGATCCGGCAGAGATGTTGACTACTGGTGGCATTATTGATTTAAGACATACTTTTATCCTTATACTTACAGCTTCCAAATTTCAGTGGGCACGAGTGAGCATCCATTGGAAAATCCTCCAAGTGCATTGGGCATTCAGCTTGAACTGTAAGCCTAGAAGCCAAAATTCCACTCTTGGTTTAAGTAGATTTGCTAGTCAAGATAAATCACTTGTTACTGGTTTTAGTAGAATCGGAGCTCTATATTAGGCTTATGAGGTTTAAACATAATAACAATAAATTATATATGTATTTGAAAAGAGGTTTGCCATTAACATCACCATCAATATTTAATAGCTGAAGATTCTGAAAGCTCTGTTATGTAAATGGTGACATTTTCTCATTATATCATCAAATATAGAGAAAGGGTTATATATTACTTCAGTATATGGTTCCTTAAAGACATGCCATTTTTGAATGTGTATCTTATGCTAAATAGGAAGATATGTGTTGAGACATACATAAGATATAGATAGCTGTATCACCTAAAATTACATTGTTCACAGTAATTCCTGGCTAAATTAGAGGTACAAGTCTAGTAATTTTAAATATATAATTTTTATATCTGACCATAATATAGATCATAGAAAAGAATAACCAGATAAAATCTATTATTAAGAACATTTCCAATTATTTCCATTTCACATAAAAGCAAAGTGAATAAACAAGAACTAAATGGAACTCAAAGAAAAGTCTGTTCTAATTGAGCTGAGAAAGAGGCAGTCATCAGCCAACCTGGCATAAAAGTCACACAGGATACAAATAGAACACTCTGTAACCGTTCTTAATATTATATAATCTCTGGATGTTAATCTTTAGAAATAAATGGTTGCAACATAAAGTCATTAAGACTGTAACATCTAAGTAATGAAATATTCAAAAACAGGGAAAAGAATAACCCAGTGCCTCCACTGTAGGCAATGATCACCTAGACATCAGTCCTCAATTCCTGTCTCCTGTTTCCCCGTAGGCACAATACAAAACAGCTTTAATTGCTAAAATGTAGTACTTAACTCTTCATATAACATTATAAGACATCAAATGCATGGAGCATGATGTCTGTGTGCATATAAAACACTAATAACATTTTGTTTTTCAAATTCTTCATTAATCATTAATTTTGGAATCAACCTCATTTTATTAGGTTTATAATTTTTAATTCTATGTCATTAAGTTAATTGATTTTAAAAATTCATCAGAATACTTAAAAGGTAATTGTAATGATCAACAGCTGCATGTATTTCTATATTTTCAAGAGAGAATGAACTGCATGAAATTGATGTTACATCATTATTTCTAATCATAAAATACTAATATCATATGGTTAGGCCTAATACATGATTTCTATTTAACCAATTTAGTTAATACATAAAAATGATGAATTTTTTATGTATAATGGAATATTACATATAGATTAAAATATGTACTTAAAAATCATTTAAAATTGCAGATGCTACAAGATGGGATACAGAAAGGCAAATTGCACGCTTCTGCAAACAAATTTCTAGTCATATACTAAGGTTTTTTAATTAAAATGGAATGCAGAGAATACCAGAAATATCAATTTTTAATAACCAGGAGACTTTCAAGCTTAAAATTAAATTCATTATAATTACTTAAAGTCCATACTTTTATAAAACAAAATGTGAGCTATTGGGTAATTTTAGGAAGATGTTCCACTTGTGCTCCTGGTTAGTGGTACCTTGCCCAGCTGCTGGTACAGTGTCACAGTCTTTGCAGCATGTCCCAACAACATACCTCATGGTGTAGAGCAGTGTCCCATCATCCTGGATTCGAAGCAGCTTGTTTGGCATTGTCATGTTATGAGCCACTGACTTTTTCCCATTGTGAAAGAAAGTATCTGGGGTCCAGATTTTGCTAGCCATTAAATTGTTAAGTCGAAGGATATTCATAGGACCTTTAAATTTTAAACGCTCATCTTTCCATTTTTGTCGAAAGAAAACATCTATTGTATATTCCTAAAACATAAAATGACAATTCGTTTCAAAACAGTAAACATTTTGGAAATAATAACACACTGTTAAATTCAAGAGAGGGTATATTCTGAATAGTTTACGGAAAGCTGTATTGAGAGAAATAAAAACATCAGGAGATTAGTCTTTTAAGTTATGAAGAAATGTTGCCTATTACAATGGGATAAAGTATTTGTATTTGCATAACTAGCTTCACATTCTTATAAAAGAAGGGAACAAATTTACTTTGTCTTTCGCCTGTCAGCTGAACAGTCTCTCAAAGGAACTGCAGTACTAAGTGCATCATTTAAAGGTGCTTCCTGATGGGGCATGCATGGGCATGTATTTGCTGTTTCATGTTATTCCAAGAGTAATTAAACATGTAACTTTCCAGTAGCATAAATAAATAAGAAAGAAACAGCTTTTAAATGTATTGTCAGATCTGCAGGAACCATCAATTTCTGCTGACAGTGAAGTTGTTGAAGATCATTGTTTTTAATTCTTAACAAATGGTGATACATGATAATATTAGCCACATATGTGTTATGGAATGAGGAATTCAAAAACATTGTAAGAAATGACTTTCAAAAAAATTGTTAAATCAGTTCTGGTACAAGAATTTTCACAAAATTAGACCATTTACAATCTGAATTTTTCAAATAATAAACAAGTGGAACATCCCTATTATCAGTTTTTAATAATTTGGTTTAGCTTGTCTCTCACCTTCTCACTTCCCTTTTCCCTATTCCATATTTTCATTCTTTCTCTTTCTCTCTCTCCCCCATCTCTCTTTTTCACCTCTCTCTCCCTCCCCCCTCGCATACATATTTTAGATGAAATAAACACTTACAATGGTGATTATTAGAACAATAATCTGTTACCAGTTTTTACTACTGTCTATGTATTTGTGCAATCATGCATAAGTAATGAAAATGTTCTATTACATGTCTCAAATTGGAAACTCAGAAACAATCTATTGTTTTTAAAGCAAGCATCATAGAAAGTAACAGCCTGACTTAAATAAAGTTCTGTTACATTAAAAGACAAATTAATAGGCTGGTGTTACAAAAATTTAACATTTGAACAAGTATAAATCCACACAAAGTTGATTAATGATCCATCGAAATGTCTAGGAGATGGATATCACTCACAGGTCACTACAGCAACAGGAGATAATAGTGGCCCTGGGCTACATTCCTAATATCAGGGGAAGATTCCATAATATGATTTTACCATCACTCTTGATGGCCTAGATTTTTAATGTGGAATTTCATTTAAATGGAAACAGAGAAGCTACATTAAAAGGTGTTTTCCTTGTAACAAGAATCAATGCAAGTATTCCTTCCCATTAGCATTACCTAAAATTACCAAACTTGTGACAGTCATTTTTGAAGGGAAATTGAAGACATTTTAAACTTTTGCATAAAAGGTCAAATTTAAGTTTTCCACTTCTAAAAAGGTAATGTGGGCTTTATAGATTTCTGAGGTTTTATATGCTTATTGATGTTGTGGTCATATTCTGCACACCAACAGCAAAGAACTGCTATTGTTTGTCCTTAAGACATCATAGCACACTAAGATGCCCATCAAATCTATTCAACAAGTATAGTGGATTTGTCTCCTACTGTCTTCATTTGAGTTTCTATTGTGCTGAAGAGACTCATGACCATGACAACTCTTGTAAAGGAAAACATTTAATTGGGGCTGGCATGTTTCACAGGTTTAGTCCATTATCATTTAGAAAGAGGCACGGCAGCACACAGGCAGACATGGTGCTGGAGAAGGAGCTCAGAGTTCTACATCTTGATCCTCATGCAGCTATAGACTATGTACCGCACTAGGCAAAGCTTGAGTCCATAAGGGATTGTGTGAATTTCATAAGACATTTTGAGCTTTGAACTTTTAAACAGAATTGAGACCGTTACAGACTATGGAGACTTTTGAAGCTGTAGTGAATGTCTTTGGGGGCCAGGCAATGGAATGTGGAGGTGTAAGTAGGAGTGGCACCCATAGGTTCATGCTTTTGAGTGTTTGGTCCATAGGAAGTGTCATTGTTAGGAGGTGTGCCCTTGTTGGGGGATGTGTGTCACTGTAGGGCCGGCTTTTTGATCTTACAATAATGGACTAAACCTGTGAAACATATGTCAGCTCCAATTAAATGTTTTTTTTTTATAAGAGCTATCATGGTCATGGTGTCTCTTTACCACAATAGAAACCCAAACTTGAACTTACATCTCTGTCAGCCTCTGCTTTCAGAGTACTAGGATTAAAGGCATGCAACACCACTCCCAGCTCTAAACTTTTCTTTAATTCCTTTTCATAAGTTGGAAATTTTATTGGGTTGGATATTATCAGGAGGTCACCACACCCTTTATTTGATTTCTTAATCTGCTTATCTCTTGAATACATGAATTAGCTCCATTCCACTTACTGGTGTTCCATAACTCCTCAAATTGTACATTTTATTTTTTTTCCATGTCTGGCTTGCTCCTTCTCTTTGTAAATCTTCATTAGAGTAAACACTAATAGTCATATGATGAAAGCATACTAGGCTGTTTTGAGATTTTATTAGCCAATGAAATTAATCCAAAATGTTTTAGTTAAGCCTCAGGTATAAACTTCAAAGAAGGGCAAAAAACAGGCACTTTTTTTTTTTTTTTTTTTTTTTTTTTTTTTTTTTTTGCCAAAATATCACAAGAACAGTCTCTAGGCCACATACTAAAAATTTTTTCTCTGAAATCTCTTGAGCCAGGAACCCACAGTTCAAATTACTCTCAGTACCACCGTCATCCATCCTGTGAGTATGGCCAATTATGCCCACTTAAACCATTCTACTGCTTTTCTTATTCAATGTTCCAAAATCCACATTCCTCCAAGAAGGAAAGCACAGTCAGGCCGATCACAGCAATAGCCAGTCCCTGGTACCAACCTTCTGTCTTAGTGTGTATTTCTACCGTTGTGAAAAGACACTGTGATGACTGAAACTCTTAGAAAGGAAAACATTTAATTAGAGCTAGCTTACAATTTTAGAGATTTAGTCCATTATCATCATGGCGGGAAGCATGGCAGCATGCAGGCAGACATGACTCTGAAGGAGCTGAGAGTTCTGCATCTTGAACTCCAGGTAGCAGGAGACTAGGTGCCATATAAACCATATAAAACCTCAAAGCCTTCCTCCACAGTGACACAATTCCTCCATCAAGGTCACACCTCTTAACAGTGCCATTCACTATTGGCCAAGCTTTCAAAAAGAGCAGTTTATAAGTGCCATTGATATCCAGACTCTACTGCTACTCCCACCAGGGAAAATTCTTGTATTCTAGCCAGTGTTAAAGGTCCACATTCCCTGCCATTTCCCCAACATAGCAAACTCTGCCTGAGCTGAGCACTGTATTTTCTCTGATTTGCTAGAACTGAAGCCACTCCCTTTGCTCCTGTCCAAAGCCCTGCAATATTGAAAGATGACGTCAATCACTAGAGTATGTTTTCTAGCTTGGCTTCCAAGGATTTCACAAGTTTTCTAGAATGGGATTGAGGCATTTATATGTATTTTACATTATTTTGCTTCCAGACATGAAAATGTCTAAAAAATATTGCAAATATGGTGAGTTGACTCAGGGAATAAGGATACTTTCTGTCAATGAGGATAATAACAAGTTAGGTTTCCATAACCCACTTGTTAAAAATAACAAAGAAATTCTTCAAATTGTTCTTTGACTTTCACATGAATTCTCTCTTTTCTCATCTATCTGGCATACAAAAAAAATAAATTAACTAATACCATTACAAACACAATATCATTATTCAAAAGAATAGTCATGCATCCTTCTTTGTTTCCCCATTCTTAGTTATATTTTCATAGTCCTTGAAGAATTATTTCCTTAAATTTTACACTTAACAGTTTCATTCATGTGCTTATAAAGGTAAGATACATGTTATCACAATTTAAATATGTATATAAGTGGCATTCATAGCTACATCATTAAAAAGTATTTACAATCTATAAAACGGGTTAGTTTTGCTGCCATAAATCACTATATTAGAATATTATTTCACAGCATAGACATTTTTCCGTGACGAGAGTTAGTTACATGACTAGTGTAAGTGATTCCAAGTACCATCTGGCAGATGGCTGCAAATTTTGAAAGTAATAAATTCCAACCATCTTTTAAAATAATGTGGTATTCTATTAATTGTGCCTTCATTTCATTTAATTAGTGTCTTTTATGTTAATTATTTCTTAGCACTTCTTGTACTCTATGTGATGAAGTATCTATGTTATATGGCAGGACAGAATATGCAACTCTAAAATAAATAACATAAATATGTAAAAAAAACTTCACATATATACATATAGCAATATATATTTATAACAATATATATCTTATCGCAATATATAGATACTGCTATAAAAATGAACTATCTCTGCTTTTCACATTTAAGCTTTTCGCCAATCCATATCACTGTGTGCATGAGATAAAGGGTAGTTTTATTACTGTTAAAATGAAGACATCTGGAAATGTCTATGTTGGCTTTTCTCAATTTCCATAAGTTGGAAATATTATGACAATATTTTTGTATTTACATATATATCATTTTCCATATTTATGCTTTACATTTATTTTTAATCCTACTACAAATGAAATATAGACTAACAAGGTTTTAGAACATACTAAAGATTTTAGAGAAAGATTTTGTCATAGAATTTAGCCATCTTTAGGATTTATGATAATTCTGTCCACTTACATCTAGGTTACATTAGTGTTGGACATGTCTCCATGCTATATTATTTTAATGGAGACATGAAAAAATGAGACTATAAGAGAAAATATATTTATTCTTTATGAGTGAGTGGTGAAAACAAATAGTAGAGATATCAAGAATATTATGGAAAATGAATCATAAAAGAAAATACATGTATATTTGTGTGTATGCACACATGTGTGTGTATTCAAAGTATAGAAAGAATAATAAACTACCAGAAGAGTTGAAAAGCACAAAAATAT